AGAGAGAGAGAGAGAGAGAGAGAGAGAGAGAGAGAGAGAGAGAGAGAGAGAGAGAGAGAAAGAGAGAGAAAGAGAGGGAGGAAGGGGGAGAGAGAGGGGGTGTGTGTGAAGAAATTAAGCCACCAGAGGGGTCCCTGTCTGGGAGGCATGGTCTCTGGCATGGCTGCCCCCTTGCCCCTTGTGCTGGTCCAGGCCCAACCAGATCACCCCGGGGGCCCAGCCTGCCTTCTCTGTATTTCTTTTAGCAACTTTTCTGTGCTGTTCCCTCCCAAGTTCCCACGGCTTCCCCTTCGGTTCCTTTGCCAGTGGAGCCAGAGAGAAGCCAGTTGCCCTTGGCATGAGTATCGCTCTGGGCCTTCAGAGTGGAATTCGGGGTGCCCCGATTGCATCTACTAGAACCCCTTGAGCCACATTCAGCTGAAAAAGCACAAGGACGGGTCCTGGATGCTCTCCAAGTTGGTTGTTTTCTGGAAGACGTTTCATGACCCAGCTAGGTAACATCATCAATGCTAGAAGGGAGGAGGGGGGGTTGCCCCTTTAACTCTGAACACTTCTAGCACTGAAGCCGTTACCTAGTTGGGCTAGGAAACGTCTGCATTTTATTCCGTAAGGGCAGGTAGTCCCCAGCTTGCAGCCATTCGGTTCGTGACCGTTCAAAGTTACGATGGCAACTGAAAAAGGGACCCATGAACATTCCACAGACTTACGACCGTGGCAGCATCCCCAGTGTCACGTGATCAAAATTCAGACGCTGGGGCCACTGGCTCGCATTTACGACGGTGGCAGCGTCCCCGGGGTCACGGCCTTCTGATAAGCCAAAGTCAGCGGGGAAGCTGGATTCGCTTAACAACCGTGCCACTGACTGAACAAACTGCAGTGATTCTCTTAACAATCGCCGCAAGAAAGGTCGTAAGACAAGGCAAAACGACTCTCTTGTTTAGCGGTGGAAATCTTGGGCTCCATTTTGGTCGTTAAGTCGAGGACTACCTGTGTTGTGAACTTTTTTTCCTTCCCCAAAATGAAAAGCACTGAAAACGTGGCTGAACAGCAGCGGATCTTAAGGAGGCCCGGACGGCGCTCGGTCTCTGGACTCAGGAGGCCTTGTGGCTTGTCTGTCTCCCGACGAGGCCGTGCACACCCCAATGAGCTCCCTGGGGGATGGGGGGTCCCTTCCCACCCACCTCGTCCCCCCAGCCCCCACCCCAATCCTGTGGGCTTCTCCGGCCACAGAGGAGCCTTCGCCACTGGCGCCGGCAAGGAGATAAAACGCCGTGGCCGGGAATTATTTTGAACCGCCTGCCGTGCCAGGGTGGCAAAGACAGGACCCCTTCAGAGGGCTTCTGATGATGGCAGCCTGGCCACCTCCCAGCTCCAAAATTATGGGGGTTCGGCCTCCGTTCTTCCTCTCTCTCGGTCTTTTGGCCGGTTGTGTAGCCCCCGAGAGGCACGCCAGGCAAACAGACCACCACAAACTCAAGGGAAAAAGAAATCTTGTCCCTTCAGGGTCCCAAAGGGGTGGGAGGGGGGAAGGGGGGGAGCAGCCTGCCAAGCTTCTGCAGACTCCAGCGTCACCTACCCCCACTCCACCACATGGGACTCGTAGTCCCAATATTCGCGAGGCCTCTGGGTGTTGACGTCCGTGTAGACTCTTGCTCGGCTCGGTACCGGGCCCGACATGGCTGTCCCAGGGTGGCGATCAGCACCGCGGTCGCTCTGGAAGAAGCAAGCAGGTCAGTCAGCGGCACGAAAAAAAAAGGCAGGACGAGGTTGGCCCTCCCCTAAAAGAGAAAAGGGACCCGGGGGGTCACTAGCTCCAGAAGAGGCTTGACTTACAAGGCAAGCACTAAAAGGGTGTTTCTGCCATCTGAGCAAGTTTAACAGGTGTGGACTTCAACTCCCAGAATTCCCCAGCCAGCATGCGCTGGCTGGGGAATTCTGGGAGTTGAAGTCCACACCTGTTAAACTTGCTCAGATGGCAGAAACACTGCACCAGAAGCCCAGGGGAACCAGAGGAGGCACCCATCAGCATCTCTTCCTTCTGGGGCCTGGGGCTTCCTGCAAAAGCTCAACTAAAACAGGAGGAACCGGCCTTTCCGGAGAACAGAGGCAACTGCTCGGAGGTCCGAGAAAGACAAAACTCTGTATTCTGTATTCTCTAAAAGTTCAGAAGAGAAGGACGAGGGGGGACACGATAGCAGCGTTCCAGTATCTCAGGGGCTGCCCCAAAGAAGAGGGAGTCAAGCTCTTCTCCAAAGCGCCTGAAGGCAGGACAAGAAGCAACGGATGGAAACTAACCAAGGAGAGAAGCAATCTAGAACTAAGGAGAAACTTCCTGACAGTGAGAACAATTAACCAGTGGAACAACCTGCCTCCAGAAGCGGTGAATGCTCCAACACTGGAAGTTCTTAAGAAGAGACTGGACAGCCATTTGTCTGAAATGGTGTAGGGTTTCCTGCCTGAGCAGGGGGTTGGACTAGATGACCTTCAAGGTTCCTTCCAACTTTTTTATTATTATATTACTACTACTACTACTACTACTACTACTACTACTACTACTACTACTACTACTACTAATACTAATACTAATACTACTACTCAGCCGCCCTGAGTCCTGTGAGGAGAAGGGCGGGGTACAAATTAAATTATTATTATTATTATTATTATTACTACTACTACTACAATTGAAGGAATTGGGAATGTCTAGACCAGGGGTGGGGAATTTTGGCTCAGGAATTCTGAGAGTTGAAGTCCACAAGTCATAAAAGAGGCAAGGTTCCCCACCCCTGGTCTAGACTAATGAAAAGAAGGACTAGGGGTGACACAATAGCAGTCTTCCAGTATCTCAGGGGCTGCCCCAAAGAAGAGGGAGTCAAGCTATTCTCCAAAGCCCCTGAAGGCAGGACAAGAAGCAATGGGTGGAAACCAATCAAGGAGAGAAACAACCTAGAACTAAGGAGAAACTTCCTGACAGTGAGAACAATTAACCAGTGGAACAACCTGCCTCCAGAAGCTCTGAATGCTCCAACACTGGAAGTTTTTAAGAAGAGATTTGGACAGCCATTTGTATGAAATGGTATAGGGCAGTGATGGCAAACCTTTTAGAGACTGAGTGCCCCCAAACCAGCCCGCCCCCACTCTGCCCGCCTGCCCCTGCCCTGCTCTGCCCTCATCCCGCCTGCCCTCAGGGCCATCCACGGCCCGCCGCAGATTGCTCAGGTGGCCCTGCAGCATCATGGTGGCCAGGTCCTCCGCCCGTGCCCCGCAGCAGCATCTGCCGCCTGGCTGTAATGTGCTTGGCGCGGGACACAACGGGGGGGTGACTCTCCTCTGGGGGGGGCTGCTGGTGAGGAGGGGGCTGCGGGGGGAGGCGGGGCTGGGGCGACGGTGTGTATGCGTGCCCACAGAGAGGGCTGCAAGTGCCACCTTTGGCACCCGTGCCATAGGTTCGCCACCCCTGGTATAGGGTCTCCTGCTGGAGCAAGGGGTTGGACTAGAAGACCTCCAAGGTCCCTTCCAACTCTGTTATTCTGTTAAGATCCAGCAGCAACCCTCCCTCCCTATGCAGCCGCAGCACCTGGCCCCCCTTCCCAAGAGGCCCGCAGGGACGCTGGCTGATCCGACCAGCCTCCCCCTAGTATCACATGCAGGCTCTCTCCACCCGGAGGCCAATTAAGCCAAGAAGAGAAGCTCCTTTGTGGCTGGGGGGGGTGTGGAGCAGTGGCGCTGAGGAGCCCTTGCGGAACCAGTTCACCCAGCACGGAGGTTTCAGCAGCAGCCCCGGCTGCAACAAGGCCTCAGCGAGAGAACCAGCCTGCGTGCAACAATCCCCGGGCGGGGTCCATGGAGATTCCCAGGCCCCGGCTGTCCCCCAAAGGTGCATTTTTCCAAAAGACAACCGGACTTATTTATGTAGTTGGTTAATGTTAGTTAGATTATGATTATGATATTGGTAACCCTGTATTCAGCTCTGGGAAGTGGGGGAGGGAGAGGGGGGGTTTAGGGTGGGTTGGTTTTGGGGTTTATATTGTAACTTTTATAAAACTTTTCAATAAAAAAAAAAAAGACAACCGGACTCCCTTGGTTTTTTTCCTTTGAAAATGTTTCACTTCGCTTTCAAAAATAATAATAATAATAATAATAATAATAATAATAATAATAATAATAATAATAATAATAATAA